ATTTTCGTGAATTCCAGGTGGAATTTTCGTGAATTCCAGGTGGAATTCCTTATTTTCTTTGCCTGGGGTGGGACAACTTCTTTCCATGTGACTTTTACAGGTAGATACTGAAGGAAACACCTGTAAATAACTGCTAAAATAACTCAGGCAGCCCCTTGAGTTCCTGCAGTGAGCAGTGTGGCACCCACTGGAATATTCCTGTGGATCCCCAACTTCTGCATTGCCAGGGGAGGGAGGGAAAGCTCCTGCCCCACAGGAGAGCAGCAGTTTGGGATGCAGCAGGAAAGGGAAGATCATCTCTGTCCCCCCTGGATTTGTAACATTCCCCTTGCACCTTCCCAGTATTATCACCTTTAGGTCATTTCAAATTTAATTTAATTTATTATGGGTCTGACCTTAGAAAACAAGCTTCTTATTGGGAGTTAAGATCCATCATGTGGTGTCTTTAAATCCCTGGAGTTGTTTTTGGTGTCAGTCATGCAGGTGGCACAAATTCTGTATCCTGTAATGTCTTTTCCCTCCACAGTCTCCTGTCAAATTAAGATTTAAGTTGGTTTTTCAAGGTAATGAAGGTGTTGTTAAAAGTCTATGTGGCTGCAATGCATTTTTTTTTTAAATAACTTTATTATTAAAGTGATATTTAACTTTAATAGGTGTTTTATTTGAGTGAATGATCTACGGATCTCCAACAGTGTAAAACACTGAAATATTTCCAATTTTAATTGGGAAAGTTGGATTTTTATAATGTCACATTCAAAAAGATTTTAAATGAGTTTTATTTGTAACCTAAACCATTTTTTGTACTTTATTTGAGAAGAAAACCTGTGCATTTATAACTATTTTATTTTAGAAGCAGTTTATAGGGTCAAAAAAGTGGGGCTTCCTGGTGATGCTTGTGCTGCATTTGAGAAGATAAGGAAACTTGTGCATTTATAACTATTTTATCTGAAATGTATTTTTTTGAGTCAAAGAAATGGGTCTTCCTGGTAGTGTTTGTGCTATGTTTGAGAAGAAAACTTGTGCATTTATAAGTATTTTGTTTTAGAAGCTGTTTTTATAGTGGGGCTTCCTGGTGATGTTTGCACCTGATTAGAGAGGAGGAGAAAACTTCTGCATTTGTAACTCAAATTATTTGGGATGCAGTTTTTAGAGTCGTAAAAATGGGGCTTCTTGGTAACGTTCGTGCTTTGTTTGAGAAGGAAACCTGTGCCTTTGTAAGTATTTTGTTTTAGAAGCAGGTTTTTGTTTTTTTTTTTAGAGTGGGAAAAAAAGTGGGGCTTCCTGGTAATGCCATAAATTCCGAGCTGTCCTCCAGCGAGGCAGCACGATGCAAATACGACTTAATAAGATCACAAACTGAATTTGGGCGAAACAAGCGAGATTTTACATTAAATTAGGAATTTTTAAAACCGATTTAGTTTGTTTTACTGAGCATTTGCTTAATAACATTTCGCCTCCTCGCAATCTTTATTTTTAAAGCCAATAATCCGCCCGTGGAAGCGCCGGCACAGCCCGGGCGGGGAAATTGGAAGCAACAGCTCCCTCTCTGCATCCACCCCGGCGAGGGGAAGGAATATTTGAGCTCCACAGGAATTTAATAAATCATCCCATTTCCTAATTTGATCATATTAGATGCTGATGTGGAAGGAGCATTGCGAATAGCAGCTCCTCATTAATATACATCAGGCTGGGGAAGGGGGGGGAGCGGGGGGTGCCGGTGCAGGGATGTCACAGCTCCCCTTCCCGACTTTCCTAAGTGGAACAGGTTGATGTGATCCCGGGTGTGATTTGTCACTGTCTTGCTAAAATGGTTTGGGTCGAGTTATGGAGTCCAGAGAGCTGGTGGCTGATAAATCAAACGGGGATTGAGTGGACAGGAGGCAGTGATTGATACCGTGACAGGATATGAGGACAGGAATCTCCATCCGAGCACGCACGATATTGAATATGAGGAGGAAAATGGCCCTGGAGTATGGATATTATTCAAGGAAATGAGAATAATAATATCAGCTGGAAATTATTGCTGGCTGAAGATTAGGAGAGTTCTTATTAGAATATTGTGCTTCTCTGGGATGGGGAAGCTCAGCCCTCGTGTAATTCCCGGGTGGATGGAGCCGGGTTAATATTTTTGGAGTTTTTGCTGTGATTGTTCTTGCAAGTTAATCATATATATATATGTAATCATATAGAAAATACTCTGCATCAGAGCTCATAGCACAGATCTTCTAATTCACCGAGCTTTAAATAGAATTAACCCCCAAATGTTACCCTGTATTCCTTGATTTCCTACAATCCTGTGATTACAGAGTATCCCACTCTAATTGCCTTTAAATATGCAAGTTTGCTTTATTGTCTGCCAAGTGTTTTTGGCTTTTTGCTTCATGTTAAACACCAAACTGCTGCTTTGTAATACCTTTAATGCGGTTCAGCTTAAAAACTGACCCAAACTCCCCAAGTACATCTATAGATAGTGAAGGAGAGGAAATTGTAAGTGTAAAATAACCTGCCTGTAGCCCTGCTGCCTTTGGAGTGTCGCTGAAGGAGCTGTTTGATCAGTGTACAGGGGTGTTTTCCCCAGTGTGTGTGTGTGGATACACATTTACCTCTTATTTCTTTACCATCCTTCCAGCCTAATTAATTTAATATTGAAATGTGTGCAGTTGTTGCAGTCCAGGGGCAGGGACCTGCTTCTTTGGGGCGACTTTGGGATAAACTTGGTTTTGAGCTGGAAAAGCAGCTTGTGGAGTGAAGCTGCCACTACCCAACAATGTAAACTAGAATTAACTGAGGCTCAACCCTCACAGCTTGGCAGAATTCTTTGTGTTTAGCAGTTAGAATTTGTAGTCTTTAAGAACAGTGCAATGGGAAAGGGGCCATTAAATAAATCATAGTAAAATCCCACCGACCTCTCCTTTGGTCTTTAAGAATTTCCTTTTTTAATATCTTCTTATCTGTTGCTATTGTATATTTTAGTGGAAGGTCAGTGTTGCACAGTGAAATGTTAACACTTTTTAAAGATATTATCATTGAGTGCTTTTGTATTTGTGTTACTTGAAATGGGTCTCTCTTCAGTTAATCTCTCTTTTCTCCATATTATTTTAGAGGGGTATTAATGTGTCAGAGTCTTTCCAAATTAAAACCTGGCTTATCAGCTGATAAAAACTGTTGGATCAAGACCATGATCTATGCTAAGTTGTATTCAAAATACAGGTTTTACTTACAGGCTGTAATGGAATGGCTCAATATAGTTGTGTAAAATTAGAAAGCTGATCTTAAGGATGTCGTGAAGAAAGACTTAATGTCAGTCTGATGCAGATGTCTGATTTAAAGTTGATTAAAACTGATTAAAGTTGTTCCAGGTGAGAGTAGAAGTCCTGCTGTGGGACTGAGTGTCAGCACAGGTGATGTTCCAGGGGAAGGGAAGGGAATGAAGGGAAGGTTTTCTGGCCTGACCATCCCACAGCCATCACACAGCGTGGGTTGGTTTGTCTGCTGGGGAGGAGGTGGAAGGGAAATTTGAGGAACAGCAGCAGGACTGGGACAGGGACTGGGACAAACACGTCCCTTTCTCTGCTGGAAGAAACAAGAACTGACCAGACAACTGCAAAGAACGAGGTTGGGCACACGTAGAGAAGCTCTTAAAACTCTTAATCTATAAAAAGACTTTGAAAAGACCTCTTTTGGAAAGGGATCCAAGAATTTTTCAAGGAGAAGCAGACAGGAGTCCTATCAAAAATCAAACAATGCTATTTAATCAGCATATTGCTTTGGAAATTCCAACCCAAGCCATTCCATGCTTCAAGGATTGCTTATTTTTTTTTACCTAGTTGTAGCTACTGGAGCCTCTATTCCTTTAAAGTATTGGTCTGCTCCTTAGGATATTTTTTACTCCTGTCCTTGCTACACAAATGAACACATTCATGTACAACCAGCTGTACAGACCCACATGATTATGCAAGGAATCAGTGTAAATATTACATATTTGTCTTTCTTCTTACTGGTGGGAAAGTTGGAAGCCTCTGGTCGATTAGAATGTGTATTTAATTTATATTAATATATATTTAATTAAGATACTGTAGCATTTCCCCTATGAAACTTCAAATAAAATGAAATTCAGATCGCTGAGTTTGCTCATGTGATCTTTAGTTTTTCTGTGGTTGGTAGCATCAGATCATGTTTGTTTTCCCCCATTATGTCAAAACCTGCAGTTTTATTTGGGCTCCCGCTGAGTTCCAGGTTGTTTCACCAACAGTCTCTAAAAATCCAGTTTTCAGTTGCAATAATTGACTTTTTCCAAGTGGAACCGAGCAGTTTGTGTCCCTGGCTGTCCTGGGAAGCCATGGAGGTGAAGCACTGGAGATGTCCTGGAGCACCAGCCCCCCCAGGAGCACATTCCCAGCCCTAATTGACCGCTTGGGGAAATCAAACTTCCCAAGGCAGTGCCGAGGGCCCTCCAGTTATCAGTGAGGGCACAGAGCTGCCAGGGACAGGGCCTTTGATGCCTTTCATTGGGATAAAACAAAAACCAGCCTTAAAAAAAAGCTGTGAATGCATAAGTGCTGTTCATTTAGGCTGAGCCTCGAGCCTCATTACACAGAAACTTGGTTTCTGAGCGGTCCAGGTGTTGTGGGCACAGAAGATGTTTGGAGTAGAGCTGCTTATTTTTGTAAACCCTCTTATTTCTCCCTTTGGAAAAGGTGGATGTGCAAGCTGGTTTGTTTGAACACTTCAGTTTTCTGTTTGGGAAAGGCACTCAAGAATGTGATCCCTTAGTGGAGGATTGGTTTTGATTTCAGCATCTCTCCATTCTGAACCATCATGTATTTTAACTGTTTTCTTTAATCCTCTTTTTCTTTCCTCCCAGAACTCTGGCCATGAAATAGAATCTGTTTTCTTGCTGCAGAGCTCGTGTTTCTCGAGCAGCTCTGCAAACCAATACAGAGCAGATGTCTTAGGATGCTTTGGGAATCTTAGACCTTCACTCTCTGCTGGGTAAATTGTTGCTCTTCCCAGAGATGGTTTCTAGGAGTGAAAGAGTGAAATCAGAGTGATTTGAAGAGAATTGAAGGAGTTAAATCAAAATATGAGCATCAATGTATTGATGTTATTGATATGATACTAATATATAAACTATATTATGATATAGTTTATGTATTAAGTGTATTAAAATATTATATATCATAATGTACCATAATATATATTATGTATAATGCATAATATTAATACACAACTAATATAACAATATCATTAATATAGTTATGTTGTCACATAGCTATTATTTACTTATATGTACATATTATTATATTTATACTATTATCAGTATTATTGATATATGAAAATAATAGAATTTAGTAGTAAAAATTTACTGGTTCCTCTATTCCCATCTTTCATTCTTTTTAATTCTAATAACACATGGCAGTAACAGAATCTAGTTCAAGATGCTGGCAAAAAACCTGTATTTCTGCTGAAAAAAGTGGTTTACTCTATTTTTTTTCTGTGGAACTCATCAGAATGTAAAGAACCTGAGCAAGAGAAACAGTTGTGCTGTAGAAGAAGAACACAAGGAGCTGTCAATCCCATGTGTTCCAAGACATCAGCCTGAATGTTGTTGGATGTGGTGAAGTCCATCCCTGAGGTTGTGGGTGCTGGAGTGAGATGATGTCACAGCCCTGATGCAGCTTTGGGGGGGGAGTGATCCAGGAAGGGCCTGCAGTGATAGAAGGGGAATGGCTTTAAACTGGCAAAGAGGGGGTTTAGGTGGGATATTGGGAAGAAATTCCTGCCTGTGAGGGGCTGGAGTGGATTTCCCAGAGAAGCTGTGGCTGCTCCATCCCTGGGAGTGTCCAAGGCCAGGTTGGACAGGGCTTGGAGCAACCTGGGCTAGTGGAAGGTGTCCCTGCCCATGGCAGGGGTGGGACTGGATGGGCTTTCAATTCCCTTCCCACCCAACCCATCCTGTGATTCCATGATTCTCTATAAACCACCACCTGTGCCCTGGAGTTCTTTGCTCCCTTTGGTCCAGGATTTCAGCCTTTGCTCCATAGCAGGACCTGGCTGTGTGTGAGCAGGACAGTCCCTGCTGCACTCAGGGCTTTTGGTACCTTTCAAACAAATTGTATCCCAGAAACATCAATTGTCCTTCAAGATCCAGGTGGGCAGCTTCTAATTGTGGTGGTATCATGGCCAGAGTGAGCTTTGGGAGTGGGTTCATGCCAGATAAAGCTGAATAAAACTGGGATACTGTGACTCTTCCCTGACTGTCCCTTTCATCCTTTGGTGCTGGTTCTCCCACATCTGAACTTTGAGACACTTGGAGTTTTCCAGTTTCCAAGGAAAGACACTGAGTCTCCCAAAAATCCAAGAGCCAGAATGTGAAGAGCTGATAACACTTCATCTGGTCCTAATCCAGGTTTATTGGCATCAAACTTTGGCAAAGCTGCACTTGACTTCAGTGATTCCAGATTTTACTGAGGTGTGATGTTACAGGAAGAAAAGGTTATCAAAAAAAATGGAGATAATTTCAGGCACATGTCGAGTTTTTGTCTTTTTGCTGCTAAGATAGGATTTGAGTAACTATGTGAGCAAAAAAATTGATGCTAAATATGTGATCACATTAGGAAAAATGGGAAAACTTGTATTTCTTTGCACGTTATATAACTGGAGAGAGATTTATTTAAATATAATGTCTATGTAAAACAATTAAAATCTAGGAGAAGATGGGAATTTAACATCTATGCCGTAATTTTAAGCATAACTGACATATTTTGGTTGCATTCCTGTAGATTTTTTTTTTTTAATACAGAATTTTTAAGTTTTCTGCAAATATTTATATGCAAACCTCCAAAGTCCTGTGAAACATATGCTTTCAATCTGGAGTTGATTATCCATAAATATTCCTTTAAGAGAGTCTCCAGTTGTGGCTTTCATTGGGTCGTATCATCTCCTAGTAATGCAAAGTGAAAATCTCTCAATGAATTGAAAGGTTTAGATTATGCTCAGCCGAAATAATGATTTAAATTTTTGTTGTAATTCTGTGCCGCTGATTTATATCCTGGAAGTGAAGGCAAGGGCAGCAGTGTGGTTTTATTATTTTAAATTATTCATATACTCTTAGATATCTATTTTTCTTCTCTAGTTTTTGCTTCTCCTCTGTGAAAACATGCAGGGATGAGCTGCATTGTGATAGAATTTAAATTAATCTGTGTCTTAGCACTGAAAATCTGTTCCCAGTCCATATCAAAAAGATTTGCTAAAAGTTTGCCTGTTAAAGCTCTGAGCTTCTTGATTGGAGAACGGGGAAAAAAACCCGAGAAACCCCTTTTCCTATTTTTCTCCTATATAGTCTTCTTGAAGTTCTTCCAAATTAGATTTTAAATGCCAATTAGGAGGTTGAATATACTAAAATAAAAGCAAATACAACCAAAATGGCCTCACCTTATGGCTAGTTAGGCTTCCTCTCTCAAAAGCGGCACCTTTGCTCTGAGCGTGGCTTTGAGAGAGAGATCCAGCCTAATGAACACATTAATTAGAACCATAACTATTTATAAGATAATTAGAAACGAAGCCCGGTAAACTGGGCCTTTTTCCTGCAATTAATGGAGGATTAATTACTGGAGGTAATGAAGTGGATTTTTTTTTTTTTTTTTTGCAATGCGGGGAGGTGAAGTACAGAGCTGTGCAGAGGCTTTGTGAGCGCCGCATAATTATCGCGGGGCCGTTTGAGCGGGGCCCGGCTGAGAGCGCTAATCAGCGCCGTTGCATCATTATGGATGCACTTAAAAAGCCTCCCCACCAAAATCACTGCCTAATTATTTCTAATTGGCAGGAGTCTGTGTAGTCATTGAGCTGTTTGTAGCCATTTTAAGGTTCATTTAACTATCCTCGGGGCCATGTGATAGATATGGGTTGGGGGGGGGGGGGAAAAAGCCGCCGCTCCGCGCCCGGCCTCGGCTGGCGCCGTTAATCAGGTTTGGTGGGCTCGGGTTTGAAATGCATTTGCTCATGCAGAGGTCAAAACCCGAAGTAGTCCAAGCAAAGTTTGGCTTTTTGAAGCCACTTGACTGCATTCATTAGCAATTAGTAAAATAATTGCGTCTGTCGCTATATTTGGATTTCCACGCGACTCGGGGCTCTTTCATCACCGGCCCTTCTTGTGGCATATTAGCTTCCCTGGAAAGCAAATATTCTTCCAACAGACCCTTTTAGCAACTTCAGTGCGGTGGCATATGTTCAGATCCACTCCTTTCTTCACTCATTTGTTCCCTTAAACAGCGCCCAACGTTTCAACGTGAGCGTCTCGTTTGCTCCCGATTGATTTCCCAGTGGAAGTTTCTACCCAAGGACAACATTTTGGGGCTTTTAAGGGTGTCTCTGAGGAATTAGTCATGAGGCATTAAGAGAGTAGTCAAATCTGTGACGTTTCCCCGAGTTTGGCAGTTAGGAGCATCTATTTCCAAGATGTTGACAGCTCTGGATATCCAAGGAATCTGTGTAAGAATCCCGGTTGTCTAAAAACTCCTCCTTGGGTTGGGGCACTGCCACCATCAATAATGTTGTGCCGCTCGTTCCAAAATGCCCCTTTTGGAGATGTTGTAATTAGGGTGGAGTTGCTTTATCTCCTGCTGTCAGGTTTAACGTGACATCCCATTAGGAAAGTGTCTGGGAAAGTTCTCCGGGAGCGTGTGGGCCTGGTGGGTGTAATCAGGACCATGTGGGGGGTGTTGTGAGCCTACACGAGCCACTCACACAGCTCAAGAGGACACTGCTGAGCAAATTGGAGGCTAATAAAATACAGGGCAGCCTGGCTGTTTTTGCCACAAAAAAATGTGGTTCTGGTAATTTAATATTAATACAGAACCCGAACAGTTATTCTTTAAACTTATGGTTAAAGTACGAGGTTGACTGAAAATAGTTACTCAGTAAAAACCAACAAAAGTGTCATTTATTAGTGAAATGTTAGCCCAAATAAGAGATATTAGTGCAAATAAGAGAATGGTAATACCCTGATTGCCTGTGGTTAATCAGCCCACCCTTATGTTAAATTATGACAGGAAAGTGCCAGCCAGGACTCGAGCTCTTCGTGCTCTTGGCAGCATCAAGGAGAATCCAAAAGAGAACTTGAGGCCCAAGGACTTGGAGTTGGATTAGTAGCAGGAACCAATAGGTGTGAAGGAGAAAGAAAGCTGGGGAGACATGAAAAATTCATACCAGTAAACCAAGTGTCTGCTCACGGTGTCACCGTGGGCAGGGGGACATCAGGGACTCCTGGAGAGGCACTGGGAGGTGCCAGAGAGGTGACAGGCAAGTTTTCCCTGTTCATTGTGTTGTTAATTTAATATATGTTACACCTTTCCATCCTGCAATCTCCTCATGTTCCCGTTCCCTCCCCTCCAACATCCCCATGGGGGTGTCAAACCTCTGGGAGTCGGGATGTGACTCTTGGGAAGAGAACTGGGGAAGGCTTGGAGTGACTCACAGGTAGTGGGTTATTTTGGGAATTCCTTTTTGGAAATCATGTGGATAATATTCTCAGTGCTGGAAGTAATAGAGTTTCCATTTTAATTCCAGCCCCCAGGTTTGGGAGTGGAGCTGAGTGTGGTACAGGAGTGATGCTGCTCTGTCATTATTTCCTGGGTTTGGGAGGTTCCTTTGTATTTTAAACAAAAAAAACAAAGCTTGGAAGAAAATTCCACGAGAGTCTTTGTTAAACAAAGGCATAGGTATGTAAAAATCATATTCTAATTGCTCTTTTTACCCATTTAAATTGGGACTAACACCAATTAGTTTGTGCTCAGCATCATCAGTTGATCACAACAGTCATAACACATTTTAAAGGGTAATAATCAAGTAGTTTTGTTGCTTTATTTATTTTTCAACAATCCAAATTTTCTTGTTTCTCTTTCTGGTATGTTTTATTTTATAGTATTTTATGTAACAGTTGCAGGTTCTATAATGAAAATACTGCTGGGTGGTTTTTTTTGAATACTAAGTGAAATTTTCAGAGTTTCTTCTCTCCCTTTCCTTGGAGTTTTTAATTAGTCATTAGAGTTGAGGTTTGGGAGGGACAGAGGAGGGTTAGAGGTGATAACTCCCAGTAAAGCAGATTTTTGGGGCTGATAAACCTGGCAGCTCCATATTCCTCATCAGTCTTCGGGAATGAAGCTGTTCAATATTCATTCAGGAGAATATTAAAACCAGACCAGACTTCCCTCTATCTGCCTTGTGTTTGGAAAATACAGAATATTACAGCAAGATGCATCTAACCTGCATGTAAATTAGAAAATTATCGGTGCATTTATAGAATGTGCACTGGAAAATAGGAAAATATCCAAACTGTTTATGATGTGTCTTCAAAAGGTTTTGAGTGTACAATGTGATAGTTTTGCACTTTTTTTGTGTGTTTTTAAAGCCTTTTTATGAGTGAGTTTTTCAGACCCTTGATCCTATAGTCAAGTTACAGCAATTTTCATGAAAGATGTTAAGTTTGTTTTGGTTTTTAGCTTGGGAAAAACAAGGTGAGATTCTAAAAGTCTCTCTGTGTTCTTTGTACAACTTCTGTGGTGAAAATTATAAGTGGAATACCTCAAACCTCTTTCATCTCCTGAAATTTACACCTGAACTGTTTGGTTATCACTGAATTAATGAAAAAAATTGCCACTTTTCTTAATTGTGAACACAGGAATGGTTTGATTTGTTATCAGTCAAGTAAAAGCAGACACACAGCTTTTCATTTAAGTGTCATTTTAGGTCATG